GGGGGGAGGTGCCATGTCAGGCAGGACGGACGGTCCGTCGGGAGGCGGGAGTGAGAGAGAGAGAGAGAAAGGGACATACGGAGAGAGGAGAACGGTACGGCTTCGGTCTGACTCACTCATTCATTCGGTCGGTCGATCCTCGGGCTGTTTTGTCCGGCGGCGTGTGTGTCTCGTGTCTCGTTTTGGGTTGGCTTGCGTTGCGTTGCGTATTGTTTCGTTTTGTTTTGTTTTGTTGTTATTTTTGGTTGTGCGTAAGCGGTCCTTCAAATGAGGGCCGGCCACATTGACCACCAACCTTTTACGACAGACAGACAGACACAGACAGACACAGACAGACAGGACAGATGGATGGATGGATGGAGTTTGCCTTTCCCACACCACACCACACGTCACACACACACACACACACGCACACGCCCCTGAGGAGCCCACAGGCGCCTCGGGCGCGAATTCCACGCCACACCGTTGATGTGATGCATCTACACACCACGAGACGAACAATTCTCGTAGCGCCGTCCACACACACACACACACACAGGTTCATTATGAATGGATGGATGAATGATTTTCGTAAAGCGACAGCCTACAGCTTTTCTTCTCCTTCTTCGTTTGTGGCCTTGTTGGTTGATGAAATAATGGATGGCTCCACTGTCGCGCGTGTGTGCGCGTGGAGAACAGGGGACGGGGCGGGGGGCGGAGGGAGGGAGGGGGAGTTGACATACAGCGCCAGACGCGCTGCATTTTGCTTGCGGTTGTCTCGGCAAATGTTATACTCCATTCTTCCGTGCGCTTGTCCATCCATCCATCCATCCATTCCTCCCTGTCTGTTTGTATGTTTGTCTGTCTGTATCTCGGCTTACTGGAGGGGGGCAACGATTTTGGTTTTGGTACCTACCTGCCCATGAGCACCGCACGCACCCTTGCGCAACCAAGAGAGTCTTGGCATAGAGAGAGAGAGAGATGGAGGAGCGGACGGGCGGGCGGGCGGATGAGTGAGTGGACATCGGTTGCTTTTCAACGACCCTATCTGTTTGGATATATCACCCGACCCACCCACTCATTCACTACCGACACGACACACACACACACAGCTGCATCACACACATACAACCGACCGATGAGTGAGCGAGACGGCGACTGACTAACTGACTGACTGACTGGCTGACCGACCGACCGACCGACTTCCCCACACGAGCAAGGAAGAAAGAATCGCTGTGTGTCTATGCCTGTGAGGCGTGTGGTGTGGAGGTGTGTGGTGTGTGGTGCACGCCGCCCGTCCGTCGGCACAGAGGCCGTCCATTGCATGGCATGAAGGAGACGCGCACGGCCTGCCTGCCTGCCTGTGGGGTGGGGTGGGGTGGGGTGGAGTAAGAGAGGAGGGGAGTGGCGGGCAGCAAGAGAGAGAGAGAATCGAGCGAACAAGTTTTTTCGGTTTATCGCCGGGAGGGAGGGAGTGGGAATGGACACGGACACGACAATCGTGGGTGGGGTGGGGTGGCAGTGGGACCTTGACACCGACTGGTCTGTCTTGGGTATGACGCGACTTATGTGTACAGCTGGCCGGGTTGATTCACACCTGACTGACACACCCTGCACACACACACACCCACCCACACGACACACGACGCACTGAGAGAGAGAGAGAGGGGGAGAGATGGACTATTTTGGTGCTTTGGTGGGTGGGTGCCTGTCTATCTTATCTATACTCACTCACTCCTTCATTCATTGACTGCTGACGACTTACCCGACTTACTCGGCTGGCTACTCTCTGGTTGCTGAGACGCCTCCTGGCTCGGTGCGGTGTTTGATCTAATTAGTTGACTGCAGTGGTATACAGACGGAGGGAGACAGGGATGGATGGATGGATGGATCGGCGGATGGGCGGGTCGTGGCTGAATGAGCGTCAAGCCACGCCCCCCACGCCAGGCAGACTGACAGAGAAGCAGAGACGCGGATCACTCGATGCGTCCGTGTGCATGGGCAGCTGTGGCTTTGACCGTTGGATGGCTGGACGGATGGCTGGCTGGCTGGCTGGCTGACAGGGGAGAGAACCCACAGACAGACAGCCAGACAGACAGCCCAACAGACAGCGTTTTGATTCCGCTTGCTCGTCTTGTTGCCTTTTTGTTGTGTGTGCTGTCTGTGTGTCTTGTCTGTCGAAATCCTCTCCCCGCGTGCCGCACTCTCTCATTGCTGTGTGGGGCCGTGGAGGGTGCGTGTGGTCGGTGGCCTCGGCGCGCACACACGTCAGCGTCGAGTGAAGGACCCACGGGGGTACCACCATGCATCCCTCCAGCCATCGATTGCGAGGCGGCCAGCCTGTCTGTCTGCCTGTCTGTCTTCATGCATATGTGTGTGTGTGTGTGTGTGCGTCTGTGTCTGAGCAGGTGCCACCTCTGTGCTGTGCAAATGTCTTTGTCGCATGCCCCTCTGCCTCTCTGCCTCTCTGCCTCTCTGCCTGCCTGTCTGCCTGCCTGTGTGGCCGCCTGGTCGTGTATGCGCCTGTGCGTGGGGGTGTCTTGGTGTCTTGGTGTGTGGAGGTGTTGGTGTGCAAGCCATGGTGCTGTCTTTTTTCCGCCGTTGCAGTCATTCACTCATTGCGTCGCCTGTCTGCCTGCCTGCCATCGTGTGTCTATGATGATGTGTCAGTGTGTCAGTGTGTCTGTCTGCGTGTGTGATTCAGCAAGCGTAATACACAGCTGCCTGAATGAATGCCTGACTGACTGACTGAATGCGCTCTCTGGTGTCGGCCAGCCAGCCAGCCAGCCAGTCTGCCTGTGCGCGGGGATTTTTGACCATGGAAGTGGTGTCCTGCGGTGCGGTGCTCTTTCGCTTTGAGCGAGTGTCCGCGGGCCATGGTGGTGTGTATGGGTCATGGGGGCATGCCATGGGTGGGGTTGTGTGCATTGGCTGCTTTGGGGTGTGATGTGGTGTGGTGTGATGTGGTGTGTCGAACGGAGGGTTCATTTTGACACCAAACAGACGGAGGAACTCTGTCATATGACATGGCATACTTCCTCACCGGGTGTGTGTCTGCCTGCCCATCACTGGGGGGTAGACAGCGCATGTGTGTGTGTGTGTGTGTGTGTGTTTCGTGTTACGTGTTACGTTCTGCCCCACCCCCCACTCCACCTCCACCCCCACCCCCTAACACCACACCCTCTTTGCTCACTCTCACTTGATGCGTCTGTCCGTGTGGTTGGGTCCTTTTGGCTGTGCTGGGTTGTGAATGTGTCTGTGTGTGTGTACGTGTAAGTGTAAGGGTAAGTACATGGCTGGTCGGTCGACTGAATGACGCGAGCAACCGAGCTGCGGTCCTTCCGTCCCTCCAGCCAGCCAGCCAGCCGCTGTCGATGCCGCAGCTTGCGGCATGCAGCTTGGGCTGGTCACCACGGGGGTGTGGTCGTCGTGTGCGTAGCGTACGGTGTGTGATCGAGATGTGTGGATGTGTGTCGCGTTGTCATGTGTGTTTAAGATTGGTCTCTCTCTCTCTTTCTCTTCAAGTCTCTCCAACTCTCACTCTCGCTCGCTGTCTGCCTGTTCTTGAGCCAGCGTGAGCTGCTATGACGGCCAGCTGGCCGTCTCCTCTCGATGATCCATTCCAGCTTCTCTGCTCGACTCGACTCTACTCGACTCGACTCGAGCTCTCTCTTTTCTGCAGTGGTGGGAGGGTGGGGGAGGAAGTGGGGATCACATGAAAGAAGTGTTGATACAGCGAGAGACACGTGCTGCTGCTGTCACTGCTGCTGCCTTGGGTGGATGGGCTCACTCTTTTTCGCACTCTATCTTACTGACTACTGGTAAGACGAGCTACGTAACCTCCAGCCCATCCGCTCACTCACCTCGCCTGTGGAGCAGCTGTTTTGTTTGTACTGTCTGTCGAGTCATATGCCTGCCTGTCCATCAAGCGTGTCCATCAAGCGTGTCCGTCGGTCGGTCGGTCGGTCGGTCGGTCGGGAACGCAGCCTAGCCAGCGACGGAGAGAGGGCATTTTTAAGCGACTTTGTGGGCACTGGGCAGGGGAGGAAATGTCTTATCCCGTGGGCGTCGGGATTGGCTCGTCGTCGATGCGCGATAGATGGCTGGCTGACACGCACGCCACGCCCGGAGGGCGTGACGGGGGGTGAGAGGCTGACCCATACAAGCATGCCACACGCAGGCACGGAGACTAAGACATATTCACGTAGCTACCTCCTCGGCCGTCTTATTGCCGTCTGTCTTGCCCTTCTTCACACACTGACTCCCGCTCTCGTGTGGGAAAGAGGGAGGGGGACAGGGGGAGAGGGAGAGAGGGAGGGGAAGGTGGTCAGCCTACTGGCAGGCGCTTGGTGAGAGGTGCGTGAGATGATGAGTGGATGGATGGATGTGCGTCCATGTCTCGTGTGTGTCGTTACTTACCGGTATTTTTCCCCGAAAACACGACTTATATTATATGACACTGACTGAATGTGAAGGGGAGTGCTGATTCATTCGCCCGCCGACTGGGTGGGGTGGGTGCGGCACATGGGGTGGGGTGAGGTGAGTAGGGTGAGTGAGTGAGTGAGGTAAGGCAGCCCACGCAATTTCTGGGACGTACACACACGCACACATGCCTACACACACGCACACTCACATGCAGCCCCTGGCAGGGCGATGGAGCACACACACTAGTACTCACACATACGCGACTACGCGACTCGTTGATTGATGCATTCACATTCATTGGATGGACATGCGGACATGTGGATGTGCGAATGAACATGCTGCGCGGCGTGGAGCTGCGGTATGCTATGCTATGCTATGCTGTGATGTGTTGCTTGCCCGCGTCTCATCAGTGTGGCGTGCATGCCATATGCTCTCTCCCTCTTACTTACACGCGTGACACACACACGAACAGACATCACCTTTTTGTCACTCACTCGCCGTGGAGGCATCGAATCGTTCGATGGTCCGATTCATTCAACGACAGAGCTGTCTCGTGTCCCACTGTCCAGTATCTCCCGCACTCTCACTCAAACCAATCTCACCAAAAGACCCACCATCTCTTAGGCAGCACCACCTCACAAAACGCCGCCTCAACAGGCGTCAGCACCGCCCCCTCACCACCACCACACGGCCTCCGCTCTTTCATCGTGTCGGTCATCCTCTCCCAGTGCGCCTCGATGGCCGCCTCCTCTCCTGGTGGCCAAAACAGGATGCTACGGACATTCAGTGCCATCACACCAGCAACCACAGCAGCAGAGACGGCCGTAACAGCCGTCGCCCGCGAGGCGACCACTGCGTTGAGTCCCATCTTGGACAGAGCCGCGAACAGGCCGCTGCCCAGCCATGGTGACACCAGCAGCAGGAGAGGAGCGAAGAGCAGCAGGCATGACGCCCAGTTGACCTCTGCGAGCGGTGCAAATCGCCCCGTTGCCACGCCGATGGCCCATTGCTCGTTGTTGCCGATACGGCTGTGGTACTGCAGTGGGCCGAGCCACTGTGCCACCCGCTTGTGGATGTCAGCAACGTCTCGGGTGTCGAGGCTTGTCACCGCCTCGACCTTCGGCCACCATACGCCGGCTGAAGCGAAGGAATGCAGAGACACGATGCGCACTCGGCCATTCTGCCCCGCTGCGCCCCGCCTGGCCATGGGTGGGGGGTAGCTGATTGAAGAGAGGAAGCCGATGGTGCACATGGTGTCCGTGCCGGCGGCCTTGATCAGACGGGCCATCTCTTTGAGCCTCTTGTCGGAGATGAAGGCTGCCTGCCCTTCATGATCACGGGTCGCGTTGATGCATGTCTCCTTGAGCAGCCGTGCTGTTGCTGCAGCCCCGCTCGAGTTGGTGCTTGTGGTGGCATTGTCAGACAGGCTGAGGTCCAGCAGGGAAAAACCCGGCTTGGTCTTCTCAGTGACTGTCATCCTTTTCGGCAGCCTCGATGATCTCCTCACTCTCTCAATGGCCTTCACCATTGTAGCATTGGCCGTGCCAGCTGTCTGCATGCTCGTGCTGCTACCGTAGCTGCTGCCGTCCTGTGTGAATTCTCCAATCAGCCCACGGCCAAGGTAGATGCCGTAGTGCTTCTGCCACCAGCCGTGAGTCCTTCTAATGATGGCGCCAGGCTTGACGGGGCTGCCGTAGCTGTCTCGCAGAGTCGAAAGGTGTGCGGCGTCACACTCATTGAGGGTCGAGACCAGTGCGCCACACAGGAAGGAGGCCGGGTCCCAGGCGGCGCCCTCGGCCTGCCATGCATATGGCCATCGGGGCCCCAAGGAATGCACCGCCAGCAGGAGGAGGGCCGTGAAGCTCAGCAAAGTCTGCAGAGAAGCGACGACGAGAGGATCGATGCACCACGTTGTCTGCTTTCTTGCAGTGGTGGTCTGCTTCCTTGCACCTGCTCGGTACCTGCATCGTGCCCTCTGCGTCAGCTGCAGTGTCACGCGCCTCGGCACTGCCCGCCTTGCTGCCCGCTGTCGTCGGCGACGTCCGCTTGCTTCTTTCGCTGTTTTTCTTCGTCTTGGTTGATTGAATAAGCATGCACTCGGTCAAACACTGCGAGCTCAAGGGTTTCGCAGGCGTCGCCGACTTTTGCGCAGAAGAAGCCGCCGCAGCTCATCCGTTCGACTCTGCAGCAGCTGAGGGCTCAGTTGGCAGTCGCGAGATGGGTGCGGTTCGTCGCGGGTTCACGGCGTTTCTGATACTGATGCTGGTGGTGGTCACAGCGGCCTCGGGGAAGGACTACGCGTTCCACTGGGGCGTGGCGCTCATATCGCTGGTGATGCTGTTCCTCGCCGACCTCATGTTCTTCACCGAGGCCGACTTCCAATTCGACCCCTTCTACCAAAACTGGGCCAAGAGAACGGACCCCAACTACTGACCAAGGAGGGAGCAGAGGGAGGAGATGCTGATATGGTAGAGGACAGACAGACACGGGACCGCCGGAGTGGGGACAGATGGCGCGCTTCGACGATGGAGCTGGTGCTGATCATGCGTGCGAGAGAGGAGAGGATGGATGGATGCTACTCGGCGTACTGCTGCTGCTGCTACTTGTTTCGATGTGTACAGCTTACCTTCTTGCTTGGCTGCGTTTCTTTTGACTGCCTATGTGTGAGTACGTGTGCGCCCATGAGAGCGGAGCGGAGCGCGACGTCGATGCGTTGGTGCTGTCTGTCTGTTGTGGTGTGGTGTGTGTGGACTGCCGTCACCTTGACGAGTGCGACAAATCCTATCGAGCGCCCCCGTTTCGATGAGATTCGTGATGTTCGTTGAGCTGACGATTGTCCCGTCCTCCACACAGCGTATCGACGAACACCTCACTCAGTTGACGCGTTGGCGTGAGGCTGAATGTCTGTGATTTGGTGCTGTAGGGAACGGCTGGCTGCCTTGTTCTCTCTGCGGCTGTCATGTCGGTGTGACTGCGGATGGATGTGGGTGTGTGACACGCGTGCTTTATGAAGTTTTGTTTGATGAGCTCAATCAGCGAGCGAGTTGAGCAAACACGCATGGCATGCGATAAGAGCATTCATCAGATCACTGACTGGTTCGTCACGGTTCGACACGGTGGCGATGGCTGCTGTGCTGAGCCCACTCACTCACTCCACCATCAATCAATCAATCAACCAATCAATCAACCACAGCACACATCGAGACAGGCACCCCACCCCACCCTCAACACACACATCCGAAAGCAAGACAGACAGACAGACAGACAGCTGTACACGAGTGACACGCCAGGTGGTCTGTCTCTATGCGCTCACTCAATCACTCAATCACTCCTGCAGGCCTGCATCCAGACAATTAGTTGGCCTGTCAGTCAGGTCAGGGCCTATCTATCGTGTGTGATTGATTTCTATCCACAACCCTCCCCTCCCCCTGCCCCCCCCCCGGCCCATCATGTGCTCCAAAAAGCCCTCTTTAATTAATTGACCGACGTTCATCTCTTTACACACACACACACACACGCACCCACGGCCCCATACTTGAATCACAGCTGGGCAATGCATCCATCTCTGAGGAAGAATATCAGCAGACAGAAACGGCCGAAAACCTTCAGCAGCTGCTGAAGATTCAACTCTGTGGGTAGGCAATGCCACGCCAAGCGGCCCCCGCCTCTCTCCTGTCCGCTGTCTGTCTGTCTGTCTCTCTGTCAGAATGCGCTATGTGAAGAAGTTGCCCCCGCCTCGCCAAGAATGGCTTCCGCGAGGGCCACACAACACCCGCTTCTTTGCTTCTTTGTGCTACCTCTGTCTCTCTGAGTGTCTCTGTCTGCTGCACATGAGTCCAGTCCGGTGGTGTGTCTGTCGCCCTGACTCCCTCCCTCCCTCCCTCCCTTGTATCCTTCGCCGAGTTGCGTCACCGTGGTGAAGACAGGGAGACAGCTGACGGGCGAGAGAGAAGGAAAAGGAGAGCTGGAGACACACACACTGCAGGCATGATGACACCCACCCCAAGGTACCCCAAGCCCATTCCCTCCCCGTCATCTCTCTCTCTCTCCCCCCGGCCCCTCCTCCCCACACACACACACGCACACTCATGGATGGATGGATGGCGGATGGATGGATGGCGGATGGATGGATGAAGGCAAGAAGGCAGTCATGGCTGACAGGCGCGACACGGCACTTAGAGAACGTTGATTGACACACACTGATGAATGGGCTTGCTGTCTGTCTGTCTGTCTGGCTGGCAGCTTCAAGGCTGACTCTGACGGCCACAGAGAGAGCAGAAAGCTTCACTCAACTCAATTCGACTCCACTCGCCCCGTCAGTCAGGCAGTCAGTCAGTCGGCAGAGAAGGGGAGGATGCAGAGAGGCAGAAATTTCTTCGAGTGCGTGCGGATTGTGCAGTGTGCAGCAGGGGGTTCGGGAAGGCGCGTGCTCTCCCGGATGCAGCGGGTGGGAGGGGGTGAGAGGGAGTGGACAGCACAGCAAGAAGGAAGCAGGCACCCTCCCACCGCTCTGCACTGCACTGCTCTGCTGGTCGATCCCTCCATGCACGTGTGTGTCTACGGAGAGAGAGAGAGAGAGAGAGAGAGAGAAGGAGAGAGGATGTGTGAGGCAGACAGACGGACGGACGGACGGATGGATGGCCTAAGAGATGACTGACCGACCTGACTGCAGCACGGCCCATAGTAGCCTATGCATGCACACACACTCACCCACCCACCACCCACTTATTTGCCGGCCGCCGGCTCGTCGACGGCCGGCTGCTGCTGCTGCTGCTGCTGCTATTGCGTGACACTTGCCGTGCCGCCATGGTAGCTAGGACGAGCAACCGGCGGCCTGCCCTCCCCCGCCCCCGCCCCCGCCCCCCACCGCTGACACGTCGTCAATGCCTCGCTGCTGTGGCCGCTGCAGGTCCTGCGTCACGGCAGCGAGGTACGACGGACGGACACCACCCCCCGCCACTGGCCGACGGCTGGGAGGCCCACCCACGCCCACATCCATCTGCCCTCTGTTGATCTTGGTGTTGTTGAGTGTGTAAAGGGGCGGCGGGGGCGGCTGGTGGGGCTGGGTGTAGGGGGGACAGGGCGGCTGGAAGGAGTGATGGTGGTGGGATCCGAATCCGAATGCTGGTGGGCGCATTGGATGGGCGTGGGGGTGCTGGTATGGATGGTGTGATGACCGGCGGGAGGGCCGTGGTCCCAGGATGGGCCCCTGCTGCCTACCGGGCGTCTCGAGTGCCGTCTTGGCGATCTGGAGTGCCTTGAGGGGCAGATGCGACACCAGCTCGGTCAGCTCGCGGCCGTGCAGCGCCTCAACCAACTCTACCAACAACTGCCACCCATCCATCCATCCATCCGTCCATCCATCCATCCAGCAACACAACACAAGACAATGACAAAGGACCCTTTTGTATGGTAAAAGCGGTGCGTACGATACCTGACAGTCTGGTGGCGAGATGACTTTTGCGTCCGGTCCGTAAGGGCGCTTCAGCGGGGGAAACGTGAACTTGGTGAAGCACGCGGGCGCGAAGGGCGCCGCAGCCAGTGCTCTGGGGTTGATGGCGCCGGTGCTGCTGTTGCTGCTGTTGCTTGTCTCCGCACCGCCATTGGCCGCCGGCTGCTCGTCCTTCAAAACGATTTGTGCACACAGACAGATGAGAACAAAGGCGGACAAATGAGTGTGTGTGTGGGTGTGGGTGTGTTGGGGGTGTAGCTGCCGACGTACGTTGTGTGTGGGTGTGTTCTTGGTGGTGTTGTCTTTCTTGGCGTGTTGCCACAGCTCGATGTGCAGGGGGATGGGCGAGATGCCGTAGGCCGCTCGGACGAGGTCGACCGCCCGCTCGACATGGTGGCCCTGTAGACACCCCTTGAGCAGCACCGAGTACAGCTTCGAATCGACACTCACACCCTGCCGCAGGCACACACAGACATCCATCCAGTTCTTCCACCATGACACACACATGAGCGGTGGTTTGTTGTGTGGGGGTGTGGGAGAAAGGGACGGGGGGGG